ACACAGGTTATCACTGCAGTGAGCGAATTTCTCATCTATAACTAAGAGACAGATCACCCGCTGAGGCGTATCAGGGCTGTTCAAACATACATGCAACACATTTTTTTTTTTTTTTAGTTACATTTTGCGTTGGTGAGAAGTAAAGACCTCTCTACTATTCATACAACAAAGACCCAACACGCCAGTTGCAATGACATGTGCAGAGTATTCAGTCTTCACTCTCGGTACCCCCCCCCCCCCCCCTTTTTTAAATTTTTTAATTCATAAGCTTTTTTCTTTTTGTCAAGGGTTCCTTTGGATATAACCCTATTGGACTGTGTGGATTGTTAGAGAAAGCGCAGTTTTAGTATTTTCTGTTCGTTCTCGGAGAAAGGTCCTTTCTTTGAGTTCCGTCGTGAACCGTTCGTAGGGAGCAAAGTCCTGGTTGTAAACTATGACCCTTCGTGTAGAAGTTTCGTAGCGTGGTTAGGGGAGATGAGATGGTTTTCCCAGTTTTTGTTAAAAACATTTTTTTCTTGCGGGTTCTGTTTTTTGTTTTTTTTTGTTGAAGGATATCGTTTCTTATGGCGATTGCAGTGACGGTATTGGAGACGTTCGAGAGGTTGCCTGAGGGAGTTTTCGTAGACCGCGCTGCGCCCTCCGCTAAGCGTTCCGCAACGAAGTTGCTACTGCGCCTGCGCACCGATAGCCTTGACTGTGGAGTTCCCGCTATCGTAGCGGGTTGCGGAGGGCCTTGCGGGACGGCGAAAACGATCTACGAAAACTCCCTATTTTTGTCTTCCGTCGCGTTTTACGTTTTCCTACCTCAATTTCAGGTTTACCATCACGTTCAACTCACGACCAACTCTATTTTGCGTGGTTCAGCTTACACCAGCTCGCCTCCACACTATTTTATTCCTAAGTACTTTTGAGCATGCTGTTATGAAATCGTATGATCCCCTGTTTTTATAGTCAGTTACAGGTTGAAAAGTTCTCGAGGGAAAGGAAGGCTGAGGAGAAGGAAGCAGACAGAAAGCTGGAGAGAGGTTTCCTTCTTTTTTTCTCCAGCATTGCGTTTGCTCCCTCCTCGCCAGCCCTCTTTTCTCTCGAATACTTTTCTTAACCTGTAACGCACTATAGTTTAAATATTCGCAACATTTAAAAAATCTCATACCACTTTTTTTTTTTTTTTTGCTGTTGATTTTTTTTTTTTTTTTTCGAAAGTCGTGGGTCGATTATTGGAAGGTCGGAACCACTGCACAGTGGCGGAACAACTGACACCCGGGAACGTGTAACCATACTTCGGAGCGCAGCCAACGCTATCGGATCCGACGAGCCAATCAAACAGCTTTCAAAGTACGATGTCACTGCGCTCACCACCTCTTTGTGGGTGTCTAATCCAACCAAACGCATAAAGTGGGCCATGACGTTGGGGATTTAGTTTTCTATTGTGCAGGAATTGCACAGCTGCCCAGATGGGGCAGTCTTTTGGAAGGGGTCTATATACTCTAATATCCCAAGATAGCCCACCTCAAATCGGGTGAAAATAAAGAGTACTAAGCCAACTTTCAACGTGCAATTAAAAAAAATAAGTAATTGTTTTCGATTTTGTGACCTGCGAAACTTGTAATCGCAGGGAGGGGCGATGAACTGAAGCAACAGCTCCTAGATAAGAAAGCCTAAGTGCTTTCCTGCGTCACTAACGCAGGCCACCTTTGGCCACAGATTGGACAAGACTACGGCGTCAGCGATCGGCCAGGGGTCGTGTTCTCACGGATTGGACACTACTCCTGGCCGAACGCTGACGCCGTGTCCAATCTGTGGCCTACGGTGGCCTTCTTTAGTGACGCAGGAAAGCGCTCGGGCTTTCTTATCTAGGTGGTGTTCAGTAAAGACGACTGTCCTTTCCAGACAACAATGTTCGCTTATCTGCCGCCGTGGCTAAGTAACACCATTTCTGCCGAGGTTACCATTAACAAGGGTCCTGCAATTACTATAAGTGGGCCATCTTTCAGTGTTTAAAAAAATAGCGAATCGTGCCAAAAATAGGGGCGGGTTATTTTTTCAGGGGTGGAGCATCTCTCGAGATTTAGCGGTGATTTTGCGGTAAGCCACCTTGCAATGTTGGTCACCCCATGCTTAACTTTCATAGAAGTTCAATGTGAGAGATTACTAAACAGATCTCTCTTATATAAACAAGCTGACAACTGTTGACGTAACTTACTTTGCATTGTTTATTTTAACCACGAAAAACCTACCAAACGCTCGTTCCTTAAATACATCGTTTACAGGAATGAATGAATTTGCAGTTTTCTGGCGCAGCAGCAACATAGGCCATAATGCACCAGTCATTTACGGGATATGGTCCATAAAAGGCTAGACAAGTCCGAGAATGCTTGATAAGCACATCCACGCACCAGCGGCTCCCGCTCTGCCGCTTTTCCACGGTGTGCTTTGTGGCGCAGAAAGCGGAAGTTGGCAATAGAACCAAACCGGAAAAAAAGTGAAAGCCGTTTACAACTCCCTGTAACGCCGAATTAGAGCGCAGCTCTTGAGGAGGAGGAGGGAAGGGTACTGGGGGGGGGGGGGGGTCATGTGACCTTTGGGGGTAACGTGACCTGGGGGTCACGTGACGATGACAATGCCGATGATGTCATCACTGGCGTCACTGATGACGTCATCACTGACGATGATGATGCGCATACCTATGACGTCATTAGTGACGTCACTGATGACTTCACCAGTGATGATGACGATGCGAATGTCGGTGATGTCATCAGTGACGTCACTGATGACGCCATCAGTGATGATGACAATGCGAATGTCGGTGACGTCATCAGTGACGTCACTGATGACGTCATCAGTGATGATGACAATGTGGATGCCGGTGACGACATCAGTGACGTCACTGATGACGTCATGAGTGATGATGACGATGTGAATGTCGGTAACGTCATCAATGACGTCACTGATGATGTCATCAGTGATGATGACGATGCGGATGCCGGTGACGTCATCAGTGATGATGACGATGACGATGTGGATGCCGGTGACGTCATCAGTGATGATGACGATGCGGATGCCGGTGACGTCATCGGGGGGTCACGTGACATCGGCGGGGGTCATGTGACCTCGGGGAGGGGGTCACGTGACTTCGGGGGGTCACGTGACCCCCCCTGAGGTCACGTGACCCCGGTGGGGGCTCGCACGGTGCATTATGGGACATTTCCCATAATGCACCGCGCGGTTACGCTGACGGCGACGGCGACGCCGCTCAAGCCGGAAACGGGCGCCTAAGAGCTGCGCTCTAAAAATAAAAGTAAACGAGTATCAAAGTTGAGCGCATATGCGACGCCTGGGCACCTTTAAACATGTTACGCACTTAAGTGCTACCGCAAGAGGGGCGCCTTGGATGTACAAGCCAAACTGCTAGTTCAGTAGTTGCTGCCAGGTGATAGCAGCCAATTGGGTTGACAACGCAGCCGCCAGGGCTGTTTCCTTTTGCTGCGGCTCAGGTTGGGTGTGGCTAGGATAGCTAGTGCAAGGCGCCGGCTAATCCAGCCAGCCACGCAATTTGGTGTAATATGGCGGATTTTTATCATGACGGCGCAGGAAATTAATTGGCTTTGACGCACTTGGCTCTGGAGTGGAATAATTGCCACGCATGTTCATAATTTATTGACAATCAACAAAATCTTTTTTTTTTAATTTCTTTATTTTTAAGTATGTAGATTGTTGCATTCTGCCCAAGATTCCGGTCCATGAAGAGACAGCACATGACTGTTTCACTGGTTGCGTGCGAGTCTGGGTGCTCTGAGTCCGCGGACAGCCACGCAGTACGAACCGCAAAAAGTTGATACCCATTTCATCTACTCCCGTCTAGCGACATCATCACTTGTTGCGTTTCTTCTGATCACACTTTTTTGCGCGGTCCACTGGAAAGCATACAACCGAAGCTTTACTACATTTTAACGACATGTTCATCAGCCGCCTTAGCCGGAAGTAGAGTGAATCTTGCATATCTGCTGCTCCCTGCCACTCTGCTTTCCCGCAACACAAGCAGCAAGAGGAAGAAGCCCACCCTCTAGAACTGTTAATCGGCACGGACGTGACGGCTATTGTAATAAACAAAAAAAAAAGGGGCCTGGCTGCAACTACTTTCTAATGAAAACTTACAAAAATAGGAAATTGCTATTTCACCGCGAGCATAAAACAGAAACAAAAACATGTTTTCTTTTTCTTGCGTAACTCCCAGATATTACAAATTCCGAACATAGAAAACATTTTCTCCTATTCTTGTGGACTTCGTTATAACTGGGATTGACTATACTAAAAAGAATGCCGCATAATATAGTAGGTTAAGTGTCAACGAGTGGCCAAACGTACATATAGTAGCAGCACTTCCTGTGCTGCTACCTGTGCTGCAGTGTCACCAGTGCAAGATGTTCTTTTTTTTTTTTTTTTTTTTTTGTGAAATAATATATTATAAATACATGTGGGCAGCAGAGGCTGCCCATCCCAATAGTTGTTAAATATTTTATTTAATACATACGAAATGGAGCCTGTGTAGCTGGGTGCTAATTCGACAGTCAAGGACACAGTGCTTGAGCGCCCTGCTCATAGACGTGCACATTCATTTTTCGTGCCAGGTGCATTGCATCAACAAGAGCATGATACACCTATTTTTGAAGCTAAAAATGAAAGGGTGTATGAATTCCCCAATGCAGCCATCAGCCAGTAATTCAAAAAGATTAGTGTCCTTTTATCAGCTATCTATATTTTACTCTACATTCCGATTTTTGCCAATACGAGAATTTGACTAGCCCTTGAAACCTCAACATCAAATATCCCCAAGCTTCACACCTCTGGCACCTCAAATACAGAAACCTTTCGGACAAGTTCTAAGTTACGCCGCCCTTCCTAAACGAGGGAAACGGACGACAAGCAAAGTGATGTGAAAAGGCATAGAAAAAAACTATTCCAGAGTGCCACAACTTTCGAGTGCTTTTGGTTTTTTTTTCATTTCTTGACGTCCCCACAGACCTGGATAACAATAACACAAGTAGGGATCGATTTAACGAGAGAGCAGCAAAAGGGTTTCGTCGAGAGAATTCATAAACATTTGTGCCTTCGCTTCCGTCCTTGCCGACTGGCATAGCCCCACGAAGTTGAGAGATCCCTAATCGTGTGCAGGTTGAGCTCCCTTTCGTCCAGGGCCGTGCAAAGCCACAAGGTGGGTAGCACCTGCGTCGCAGAGCCGAGGGACGTTTTACGAGGCAGGGCCAGACGCGGGACCGGCCTCGGCTCTTGAGGTTACGAGTGACTGGAAGAGGCGACGCCGCGTGACCTCAAGAGGACTCCCTCCGGACCAGGTCTGCGATGTACCCCTTGCTCTGGATGAAGCCCCGGCACTTGACCAGCACCGAGTAGCGTGCCACCCAAGACGACGACCACTTCCCCAGCTCTCGATCCGGAACGTAGTCCTTGAGGAGTCGCTCCATCGCATCTGCATCTAGCACCACTGTTCGCGGAAGGAAAATGTGTCTTGATCGCGTCCGATAAACTTGGAGGCACACGGAACCTGTGGTGAATGAGCCGAGCACATACTCTGCGACATCAGTGTCACGCGAGATAATGTCACGTGATATCATGACATTAAGTCACACAATGTTGTGAGGTTGCTAGTGAGTAGCTTTTGCTTCAGTCCCCTATTGTCATGCGATTTTACTAAGCGACAGCAAATAAATTGATTTGATCCGAGTAAGGGGTCACGTGACCTATGTGTCAGTCAAGCGTGTCACTTTTCTCGTGGAAGTTTGACGTGTAACACATTTGTGTTATAAAAAAATTTAAAATTTGAGGGTTGGCAAATCAAAGAAGGGTGCCTGGCATGCCCCAGAGAAGGACTGAGGATTCATTTCGACCACCTGCAACCGAAATCTTGGTAGCACAATACGTCCTCCGCAATAAGCCACACGAGAGCAAAGATATGGCGTCATTACCGTAGGGGCAGTGAGGCTCTATCAAAGCGTGAATCTCATGACAAAAAAATTGTAGCTGCCTGTTCTATGCAGCTTACAAGACCCAATTTTCTCGAATAGAAACAGAGCAAAAGAATAGCACCAGATATTATAAGGCTCATCCTGAGCATGCCTGGGAAATATCTCCCAATCATATTTCTTTCAGACGGAAAGGATTAGCCTTGAAATCAATGCACTTACTTCCCCACCACAAGTGGCTGCTACCTTGGCCACACTGAGATTAGCAGTGTACTGTCGAAACCGATTATAACGAAGTCAACGGGAATTGGAAATCACTTCGCTATATCCGCTATTTCGTTATAACCAACTTCGGTTATAAGGAAGTGCAAAACGGAATGGGAAGTTGTGATCGCTTCGCTGTAGCCGCTATTTCGTTATAACCGACTTCATTATAATCGGTCTCGACAGAAGCAGTGCAAGGGTAACATGTGACTTAATAACTTGTTTACTAACCAGCATTGCATTCCTAGTAGCCGTAGCATCTGACTGCCAGTTTTGGTCTCCCATTCTGTTCATAACTATACTCATTGCCTTTGATAAGGAGGAAAATTCAAGATTTACTGTGGTAAGTATAAAAACTATGAAAACCACCGACGTTTCACTGTTTTTCAAATAAAGCCTCCCTGCGAGACCAGTCTGTGTCAGCTGTTCCATGCGAACGTTGACTTCCAAAAAAGGCTGCCCAACTCTGCTAGGACACTCTACACCCCAGGGTAGATGGCGTGTATCTGAGGGGCTCGGGTCACGGCCGGGCACTACCTCACATCCGAGTAATATTGAGCAAGTAAATACGAGACTATTTGCAGTAAACCCGCCAACAAAAGTTGTTTATACAGTGAAACCCGTTTAGAACGAACGGCTATATCAAACTTTTTCCCTCCGGGAAGGCTTCCAAAAACGTGCAAACAATCGTCTTCTAGCCTGTCCCTTCTCCCAAAAAAGAAGTAGGAAAGAAAGAAAATTCCAACAGCTCAAGTTTCCAACAAAACTGAGCGAAGAGAAACGATTCGGAAGGGGAAATAAGCTAAAAAACAAACTCTGCACGCATGCAAAAAAAATAAATAAATAAATAAAACCCTTTTGGTGCGTTGTTACAAGGCCGAAGTGAAGAGATGAGCAGAGATGGAAGTGCCATTTGACCTTATGGAGCAGGCCTTCTAGCAGGCAAAATGTTGTTTTGGAGCAGGTAGTGGCCCTTTTGGAGCAGGGTCCGGCATATGTTGGCATATTACTTGAAAATGAAATAATGCTGCATTGCTATATGAGGCCCATCTCTATTATTGGAACACAGCGCCTGTCGCCTTTTTAAAACAGGATATATAAAATTCAACAAAGTAAACACAAAAAAAAAACATTTTTTAAAATAAAGTTTATCTGCTCGTCAGATAAAAAAACACAAATTTGTCACACTGAGTTGTGATGGTACAGGATATTTAGTTTTATCAGCCTGCACTTCTTTTAAGGTATCTCCAGCAGCATCTAACGACCCTCACTGTTATGGAATGTTTTAGTTCAGACTAGAGTTGGCTTTCGGGCAGCAGCTTCAAATATTGCGGTATCTGATATTCGCTTCAAAAATTCCGATTCATTTTCGATGTGCTGGCGAAGCACGATCGGATCACGGCGAGTTAACCCGTTGAGTGCGCTCCTTGGCATGCACCGACGCGCTGCAGAGAAGCGACACCCGCCGAACAGACACCGCAGTCGCAGTGCTTTGCGCTCTGAAAAGGACGGTAAGGCTTTACCAGCACTACATCCAGAGTTTGGTGCTACTCAACTATAATTTGTTTCTGCTTCGGTGCGAGTGCAGCCGAAGCTACAAGCGCGCGCATGGTGCCCGTAACAGTGCCCACACTGCACGAGCCCACGCGCGACTCAGGAATGCACAGAGCATTGGGCTCGCACTAGCTTTGACTTCGCTGGTAGCTAGCGCATGGGAACAGGGCGGGCCAACATTAAAAACATCCACAAGCTCGGCCTTTTTTTTTTTTAAATAGGCTGCTCAGTGGGATGGTTCTTCGCTTAGCCTCTGCGGCTTTGGTCTCAGATGTTGCTAATGTTTCTTTCAATGATGGTGATGATAATGCGCCCTCGCAGTTTCAGTTTGCGTAACAGTTGCGGCGTGGAAAATACCGCAGTACCACCACGCGCCCTGATAAGACTTCAATTTTTTTTTTTTTTTTTGCTACATCTCATTTTGGCGCAGGCCTGGCACAATCATTCGGTAAAATGACAACTTGGCGCTACGTGTCGCAGGATTTCGTCCTTGGCACAATTTGGCGCAATTGGCGCAGCACTTCCATCACTGGATGAGAAAGAAAGAGAAGGCTCGCCTGACAACAAACTCATTGTGGAAGTTTGTTGTAAATGTTTTTTTGCTATATCGAACTGATCGTAGCGTTTCCTGCTGTTCGTTGTAAACGGGTTTGACTGTAGTATTACGTTTTTGATAGGACATTCCATTCCACGTGCTGGCAGATCGAAGGCACTGCTAAAGGCCCGTTCACACACTTGCGACTTCTTAGGACCGAAAGCCTTGAAACTTCTTAAAATCTCTCACGATGAGAGGATACACTGGCACAACCTATCGGGTAGCAGTGAAACATGTGGCGGTCCAGTATATTTTGTATTTCTTTTGTGCATCATGCTTTCTTTCTTGGCTCGAAAAACTTGTGTCAATGTTAGAAACACACATTTCTCATCAGTATGTACATTTGACCTCGAAAATACCGCCAAACTTTCGCTTAGTGAAATGCAGTTCCAGGGTCACTACCTAATGGCACCAGCGTGTCAGTGTGCTCTCTTGTGGCAAGAGATTTTAAGAGGTTTTAAGGCGCTCGGTTCTAAGGAGTCGCGAGTGTGAACGGGCCCTAAACTGTCTTTCCCTGGCAAATCATAGGCAAATGGCGAGAGACATTGAAGCAAATTTGAAGCTGAATTTTACCCATACTATCCCATGCACAGCTGGCAATACCAGCCAGGTCCTAATCTCTCTGGCGATGCCTTTATTTGAAAATTGACTGAAAAGCCTAATAAACATCTAGATGCCAGTGTCAACCCCGAGGCTACAGCAGAAATGCACAGTGAACTCGCATGTCTCACCAATGCAGTCAAAGGAATTGCCCCATGCCCACAATGCACCTTTTCCCTCATTTTGATATTAAATATAGTGGATTTAATTACGTTTTTTATATAGAATATTTTTTACGTGAATAAACTTTGTTGGGTAAATTTCCGTAAAAGTAAACATTTTGGAGCTTTGACGTGCTCACGGTGTTGTGTCTTGTCACAAACAGGACACGAAATGTGGACAGTCTGTTAAACTGGTATGGTGCACACCTTACAAGAGGGAGTTTGTAAGAGAGTTTACATAATTTTGGAAAACATAAGGTACTCAAAAAGTGACTCATAATTCTGGCAAACAAGAACCAGTATTATAAGTTGCTTCTCAAGTACCTGCACGACGCAGGACTACACTCTTCTATTTAATTCGTCCCCTAAACATGCCATGCCGCAAAGTGTACTTGAGTGCTTCGTAGAAGTGCGCCATCTGCCATGTACTTTATCCTTGGAAATCTTCGAAGGCTACCAATGGTGTTGCACTACAAAGTTTGTCGTCATCCATTCTACACTCGACTAGGTATTCAGGTAGTTGCGCTAGTCCCTCACTTCAATTTCGACCCCAAAGGTTCTGCAGGGTACCCCGAAATTTGCCAAGCATGGGGCTTGAAATCGGTCAATCAATCAAATTTATTTTACATCAGACACTGGTCACAGTTTGATTGAGAGACATTGATGTGGTAGGCTGCGGGGCTCGAGTTCAAGTGCCGTTGCACGAGAAGCATTACGATTTTTTCATTTTCCGCGTTCAACCAGAATTTGCTAGAACAGTGGCTGTGGCCAGTGGGATAGTATCCCCCAGAGAAGGGCGTGCTCACCTTTGGGGTCGCTGTGCGTGAGCAGCTGGATGTTGCTGACCTTGGCAAACTCTGCCATCTCCTGTGGAATGACGCAGCAAGAGTCCAGGTTCACCTGGTTCACGCTGGGCTTCACCTGCAACCACAGACGAGCCAGTTGTCCTCTTCCAAACTTTTTCAATAAAAAATGAACAATTAATTAAATAAGAAGCCCCATTCATTTTTGATTCAAAGATATTGTTATGACAGAAGGCAATTCGAAGGCTTTGTTCTGTCAGGTTCGCCGTCAGCCTTTAATGGCGTCCATTCTCTCACTGGCACACACTAATCTTCCTCTTCCTTCCTGTATTTGCAAGTCTTCGTCTTGCACAACACTCTTTACGGTGTGATATTCTTCGTCTTGCACAACACTCTTTACGGTGTGAGTCTTCGTCTTCCACAACACTGCACCCCTCCCTGTAGAGGCTCTCGTCCCGAGGCCCGCATAAGTGTTCACTTAGTGTGGTATGGTGCGAGACAATCAAAATGGACTGTCTGAGGTCTATGGTTGTTAACATGGCGGATCCGGTAGACAACATCGTTCAGTTTCTTGATGATCTCGTAGGGGCCATCCCAGTTTCGTTGTAGTTTTGGACTACGACCTTTGGTTCTAGTTGGTCTGTATAGCCACACCAAATCTCCAGGTTCCAGTTGGTGGCTGGATGCGCTTCGATTGTAGCGAGTCTCTGCATGGCTGCTGCTGAGTTGTAAATGCCTTCGTGCGAAGTCATGGACAGATTCCAATTTCTTGCGTAAATGGAGAGCGTGATCTAAGTGAACATTTTCACGTGTTGCCTCCCGTGGTGGTGGCGCCGGAGTACCGAACATAATGTCCGCAGGTATTCTTAGCTCTCTCCCCATGAGCAACATTGATGGTGTGTACTCTGTTGCTGCGTGGACAGCTGAACGGTAGGCAAGTAAAAAGAGGGGAACCAGTTCGTCCCAGTTGTCCTGGTGCTCGTTGACAAAGAGAGATAGATATTGCTTAAGGGTCCGGTTGAGCCTCTCCACCATACCGTTCGACTGTGGATGTAATGGTGTTGTTCTAGTTTTCTTTATGCCAAGCGCTGTGCACAAATTCTTGAAGGTCTGCGACTCAAAAGTGCGTCCCTGATCAGAATGGATTTCTAGGGGCACTCCGTACCTCGATACGATGTCTGTAAGCAAGATTCGAGTGATGGTTGCTGCGTCGTACTTACGAACAGGGAAAGCTTCTGGCCACTTTGTGAAGTAGTCTGCAATTACTATTAGATACCGATTTCCTTCTCTTGTTTCTGGTAGTGGCCCTACGACGTCAATGGCTACTCGCTCAAACGGCACGCCAACGTTGTATGTTCTCATCTGTCCTCGGCAACGAGAGGGAGGTCCTTTGCGCGATGTGCAGTGGTCACAGCCTCTGCACCATTCGCGCACGTCATGGCTGGCGCCAACCCAGTAGAATCTGTCACGCACTCTCTGTAGAGTTTTGTGTACCCCAAAATGTCCGCCCGTAGGACTGTCATGGAGTTCCTGCAGCACAGTTTTGACTCGCACTTGAGGCAGGACAAGTTGAAGGGAAAAGTTAACTCCATCGTTGTTTTCCCAGCAGCGAAACAGGAGGCCGTTTTGTATGAGGAGAGAATCCCATTGAGCCCAGTAGGCTTTGACAACATGGTTGTGCGGTGCAACCCGGTACCAATCCGGCCTTTCGCCTTCTTGCTTCCACTGTATAAGAAGCCGAATATTGTCGTCCTTTCTTTGAAGCGTACGCAAGGTTTCGTCACTCCAGTCAGTGGGGTCATCATCGGTTGATGGACGCGTGATCACCGCCTGTCGCGTGACCGTTGACTGAGACGGTGGATTCGTGCTGTTGAGGTCGGAGTGCTCTTCAGCATCAAGGCACGGGTAGCAATCTTTTCGTGAGCAAGGCCTTCGCGAGAGTGCATCGGCGTTCATGTGTTTCCTACCAGCTCGGTGTTGGACATTAAATTGGTACTGTTGTAAACGCTCCAACCACCTTGCAACTTGTCCTTCAGGGTTCTTAAAATTCAAAAGCCAGGTGAGGGACGCGTGATCGGTCCTTAAGAGGAAGCGCTTGCCGTAGAGATAATGGTGAAAATGTCCTACAGCTTTAACTACGGCCAACAGTTCCTTTCTTGTGACGCAGTAGTTTAGTTCTGCTTTCTTTAATACTTGACTGTAGTACGCAATTACCCGTTCAGTTCCATCCTCTAACTGTGACAAGACTGCACCCACACCAACGTTACTTGCATACGTGTCCAGGACGAACTGACGATTCGGATGGGGAAATCCGAGGATAGGAGGTGAAGTAAGGGTATTCTTGAGTTGAAGAAAAGCCTCCTCAGCTTGCATGTTCCAGTGAAATTCCGTGTTCTGTTCTGTCAACGTATAGAGTGGTTTGGCCACGGTAGCAAAGTTCTTGACAAAACGTCGGTAGTAGGTACATAGGCCTAAGAAACTCTTGAGTTCACGATGACTGTGTGGTTGTGGCCAGTTTCGAATACAGTCCGTCTTGTCGGGGTCTGTCTCCCTCCCATTCTCAGAGACAATGTGGCCTAAGTATCAAACTCTTTTCTGGAATAGCGAGCATTTTTTGGGATTCAATTTTAGGTTCGCTTGTCTTAGGCGCTCAAAGACGTCTGACAGATGATGAAGAGCAGCTTCAAAAGTCTTTCCGTGCACCAATATGTCTTAAAAGGTATACGAGACACACATTGAGGGGTAAGCCTTGAAGAACCTTGTCCATGAGGCGCTCGAAAGTCGCTGGCGCGTTGCAAAGGCCAAAGGGCATTACCTTGAATTGCCACAAACCATCGCCTGTGGTAAACGCTGTCTTCTCACGGTCTGAGGGTTTTACCTCAACTTGCCAATAGCCGCTCCTGAGATCAAGCGTAGAAAACCAGGAGGCACCGGCCATTGCATCAAATGTGTCGTCGATCCTAGGAAGAGGGTAGGAGTCCTTTTTCGTGACGTTGTTCAGTCTACGATAATCCACACAAAACCTCGTGCTCCCATCTTTCTTCTTTACCAATACTACAGGTGAGACCCATGGACTAGATGAGGGCTCAATGATGTCCTGTTTTCGCATATCCTGGATCATTTCAGTGACCTCATACCTCTTAGCGAGCGGGATTCTCCGAGGTGCCTGCTTGATCGGAATAGCGTCACCAGTATCTATGTGGTGGTGAGCAGCGCTCGTGCGCCCGATCTCTGACGGGGAGCAAGCGAAGACATCTCTGTAGACGTTGATTAAATTCAAAAGGGACTCTTGTTGCGGTTGGCTGAGGTGCTGCTTGGAGCGGTCTGCTAGTTCCAGCAAAGACATCGGCAGCCCATCTTGCTTCACGTTGGTACTTTCTCTTCTCAGGCTTCTAAGGCTCGCAGCGTGGGACCAAGTCGCCATTCGACAACCTTTCTTGATGTTTATCGCTTTATCCGTTAGGTTGGCAATACGGATAGGGACGCGCCCATTGCTGAAATTCACAAGTGTTTTTCCGACAATGACACCTGGTATGTTGTCACAAGCCTCATCTCCTTCAGCGACCGGGATGCCTTCAGAACAGCAATTGCCATCAGTTGTCCAAACGATGGTTTCACACTGCGGGGAAACAACAGTTGACTTCGAACAGATGAGGAATCCACCCTCATTTTTCAAGAGCGCTCGTCTGCTGCACAGGATGATGCTTTCCTCGCTCAGATTTAGTGTCTGATTCTTTAGATCAATCGAGCAACCGTGTTCCTTCAGAAAGTCGAGGCCCAGGATACATTCTTCAAATATATCAGCGACATAAGTCACGTGTGAAAATTCTTGACTGCCAAAACGGAACATGAGCTGTGATGACGCCGTGACTGGTGCCTTCTGCCATAACAATATGCACTCCCGTGGGCTCTGCCTTGTGTGGCCGACCCATTAAAAACTGAGGTTTTGCAAATTGGGGTTTCACATTTTTGCACCATTGAGACAGACAGAACTGGATACTACTTTATGCTATTTATCTCAATAAACCCTAATTATAAGGATGTAACAGGGGAAAAAAAACATTGGACATGGGCGGTAAGAGAATAAAAGCAGGAGAGCCGTAAAAACAGGGTTTTGTTTGAAATGACACATGTGTCGGGTTTCGTATTTTGGTTTGCCTCAAAATTATATATTAGGTCGATCCGTGCAATGAACAAAATCACTTCTGAAAACGTTTTAGACATTTTTTTTTAATAAAAATTTAGAAGTAGATCAAGGTAAAATGCTATGTTTAGGGTGCTTGATTTTTGTACCCAGTTCTGACAGTTGTTATAAATAATTCAAAACAAAAATACAGCCAGCAATTTTTTTTAATGTATTATGCATGTTTTTTTTGTTTTTTTAAGGGGAAATTAGTAAAAAAAATGGCAATATTTGTGCCAATCTTTTGATTTTAGGTTTTATATGATGCTTCATTACTTTTTAATCTTTATATTTGATGCATAAAAATAATTAGTGCCAGTTATGATCGCGATATTAGTCAAATACACATGTAAAGACTTCCAGGCAACCTAGAACAGCATGAACTTGAGCCATTTTTATCTGCATGGTTCTAAGTTGTGATGTCACCCATACCCCCATTACGTTGACAAGGAGGCCTAGCCATCTCATCTCCATTGCAGTCTTCTGTAGCTTCAATTTCTCACTGAAATTTATTAATGAGATACTATTTTCCGCATCGCGAAAGAGTATCGCTACAAAAGATTGATTAAGCACGATGAACTAAAAAAATTAATTTTGATACCGTAAATAATAATAAAAAATTTCCCCTGGTGCATGTCCCCTGAAACTGAACTACTTTGGCATACTTTATGCCAGAAATAAAAAAATGCCAAAAATGGCATTTTTGAGAACTTGATGATATTTTTGAAGCCTTATGTATTATGGGCTTTAGAATGCATAATGAATCTTAGGATTCAAGATTCATCATACATTTTGATTATTAAATGCTATACGCCTGTACGCCTATAAATGTGCTATCGACTGGTACCATTTTAGTATATTTTAGTTTCATAAAATAATTAATGTAAATTTTTAAATTTTATAAACAAATTTAGCCATATTTTGAACCCACTTCAATAAAAAACGTTTTTTTTTTGTTTTTTTTTAAATATTGTTAACTTTCTGCTGGAATAATCAAATCTCCCCCTTTTTTTGTTTTATGTTCTGTAGAAGTGCTACAGATACATGTACCCGAATCGGCAAACGGGTGGTTTGGAAAGTTGGCTTTACTACAAGGTTTCTTAGCTATAAAATGCTAAGCAGACGAGAGTTGCAAGAATTTGGGAGATGAAGGGGTGACGGAGACTGGCGGCGGAGAGGAGGGAGGGGAGAGAGTTGAGTGAACATGCCCCCACTAGAAATTAAACGTCCGCCCTTACCCCATATGCTGCTCCGAGGGGCGGAGAGGTTTTAGTTAGGACATTTGAGTCAGGCTGCATATTTTTATTTATCGCAGTTGCTATACACGTTTGCAAGTCCAGTCTCAGGGCGCCGCCATCTTCCTCACTGGGGTGCGCTCTTGCGCGCGGCCATAATCCGATTACGATGCCTCAGCAAGGCTTCGTAATCGGATTATGATTCGCCCAGGCACACCCCATTCAAGCAAGATGGCAGCGCCCTGAAGCCGGACTTGCAAACGTGTATACATAATATTTCTTTCTTTCTCATTTCGCTTGTATTTCTCTGCTGTTAATACCCATAAGACAAGATCTGCAACCAGCAGTCTTTGTACAGCAGCTATCATTACAATCCTCTGCTCTAGCTTTTTACATTCCAAGTTGCTTGTATCCAGTTTTATCAATGGCTGCCATTCACAGATTTGATTGAGTCTCCTTACGACAGTCGACATAAAACGACATATCGAAATGGACATTTTCGCTCCGTGAAAAACGGAGCGAAACGTGGATCTTCCGACATGTCACCCTTGCCCCCTCACAGCGCTGCTGCGATGAGGCGCACTGACGTGGCTTGACGCAAAAAATTCTGCATGCTGTGCCATTAAGTTGAGGTAAAGTATGCGGCCAAGTGTAGTTTCCAAGCACGATATGCGCAGGGACGTTAAGGGGCAACCCTGGTCGAAAACGAAACCAAAATGAATGCCTGGTATCGCATTAGAGGCATGAAATATGATCACAGCCAAAATATTAAGTCGAAGTAAAGCTGCACATTCCAATAAAACCAATCCTAAAAATGCGACCAGCTGCTCTTTAGTGGACAGCAAGCAGGTTAGCTTTTAGTCAAGGAAAACTGGCGCAGCACCCTTGTGACGTCGCGTCACAGTGGACCTGCAGTTGATCGATTGTACCACGTACCACGGCACCTTGCGACGTCACATCATGGTTATACGGCTGATGATCAGTGTTGCCATCCTTCTAGCAGATAGTTTTGGTTTCGCCGTAGATGCCCGAAACCAAACTTTGGCCGTGATATTTGTAAAACTATGCACAATAAAAACAAAAACGCACACAAAAAACCTATACCTTTCCCTTCCTCTCACCACAAACGGGGTCCTCCATCATCTACGCCGACCCATAGGGGGTCCGCAGAACATCAGTGGTTCTCAGGGCTAGTGTGAAGTAGACTTCCCTCATTGATATACACACGAAACAAATCACCCAAAAATTGGAACATTAATTCTCAATCTGAAGAAAGACAACTTTTATTGCCGGGTTTGGCTGATGAGGCAGGGTTTCGCAGACCCCTAGAATGCCTTCGCGGAGCCTGAAGGGTCCGTGGACCTCGATTTGAGAACCACTGCTCTACGACATAGTGAAAAACAGCGCAAAAAAGACGGGACAATGTAGAAGGACACAAGAAATACAAAGGACATACCAACCAGCCCAGCAAGCTACCCTGTTACACTGCTTTAGCGAGCACCTCCCTACTCCTCCCTACTCTTCCTACACATGCGCGCGTGCCCTTCTCCCATTGCTTTTGCCATCAACAATGTTTTTTTTCTTGGTTCATTGTCTTTTTTGTTTTGGCTTGGCGGTCTGCAAGAAACGCAAGGCAAGCGATGTGCTCGCCACTGGAGGAATCGGACTGCGCAAAAAGCAACGGGCCGACGAGCTTTGTTCGCTATATCGAGTGTCCCCACCATGGGAGTTTGATACAAAAAGACAACGCTCCTATACTATTACATGTGATTTTCAAGGGGATGTTTGGACTGTTTGATATAAACAATAATTCAAAATACCTAAGTGCGATATAACCGGGCTCGACTGTAGTACCTCGTCGGACCAGAAAATTACTCTCGTGGCTATTTTTGTCGCCGGGAGAGAAACCCATGTTTACCAGCAAACCGGCCATGGAGAAATACCCGTGCTCACCAGCAAAGCGACCCCAGGGTCAAACTAGGGGGACGGGGGGGGAGAGGAGACGAGGCTCACCTTGGCCCAGTTGTAGAGCTCCTTGAGCTGGGAGCTGTCGAGGTCACTGACCCCGACTGCCAGCGCCCTGCCCTTGGCCACCAGGACCTCTGCAGCCTCCCAGACCGGCTGCACTTGGTCCAGGGTCAGCTTGGTGGCCAGCACCGGGAAGGCTACGATCAGCGAGTCCACCTCCTCCACCCCAAGGTGCTCCAGCACTGCGGTGGAACAGCAGACAGTGAGCGCCTGCGTCCGGTCTATGGCGCATGTTCTAAAAAGCCTGGAGCACCTACTTTCCCGCAAAGCACACGGGAGGGCCGGTCGCAACAACCTATGGAGGGAGCTCGGCAAACGACGAAGCCGAGCGCTTGCTGAGATCTAAGAAGACCGAAGTTTCACCCTTCTCGGCGCCACGACGCAGACTGTTTTCTTAGGTCTATATATGACAGGATTGTCATTTGCTGAGCCCCCTCCGTAGAGTGCAGTGATTGGTTCTCCCGCTCCAGATTCCATTGCATTACACTCTGGGCCCAATGGATCAAACACACTTTAAACGAGTCTCAAGAATCAGTTTCAGATGGCCAAGGCCGCAATTCAGCACAAAGCTGCAACTGGGTGGTGCATTTTTTTCTTTTTTAATATCCAAGAGTTAATTTGCCTAAATCTAAAAATACAACTAAGATGCGAAAATTTCCTGGGGGGTCTGTGTGCAGCTAAGCCTTTTTAGGCTAAAAATAAAAAAAAGCTTTCCTGTGGGCTATGGGAGCATTTATTGGATAAATACAGGGAATGAAAGCAAAGCCTTAATTGTTTTCTTTGCCGTCTTTGTTGCTTTTGTTAGATCAAACATACTTTTTCACATTGGCACAAAAAAGGCTCAACTGCATGAAACCTAGAAAATTTGTTTCTTAGTTGAAGCTTTGACTGAAGGATGTTTGACTAAAAAATGTTACTTTTTTTATATCTAGAAAAAAAAAAAGAAAAGAAGATCCCCCTCAGATACACATTTATGCTAAATTACAGTGCCCTAGAATGCAAAACTGATTTCTGAAATACACCGAAGTGGGTTTGATCCGCAAAGCCCTCGCTGTAGTTCAGCAAAATAATTTTCAAGGTGGGACTTGTCATGATAAAACAGACTGCACTAGCCAAAAATAACATTTTAATTGGACCTTTCACTTCCCATAGAGGAAACATCATTTCTGGTGCCAAGGTGGCAGGCTTGAGAACAGACAACAACCTGTGGTGCTGCCTAGTTTAGTGCAGGGGTACAAGACTGGAAATCAACAAGAGCTTTAAATCTGGTCACGGCCCACACAACCTGAACACAAGGCCTTAGTGCTTGGAACAAGCATGTCTGCAGCGACCACAAGGGGTAGGTGATTGTAGATCCTCATGCTGACATGTCAGTTCATCATACAATTAAGTATCTAATATGTACCTCAGATACCTGCATCGACGTTACGAGCACTAATCTTTTTATCACTACATTCACTATGCAGTGAAGCCTTTCAGTAGCAAAATCACTTCTGACAGTTTATCGTAAGAGCACCTCGAGTACAAGTACCAACGATAAAAGCATGGCGTAACCTTTTTGTGCAGTAAATAAAAGTTCTGAGATGCTTGTAACGCTAGTAGAAGCACAACAGGTAAAAATACAGTGAAACTATAAATGCAGTAAATTTATTTTTGTGCAAACTGATGCAATTGCAGAGATGAGATTACTGCAATAAGTCGACATCACATTACGCAACAGACATGTAAAATTTGTGTTTTATTCACTAAAGGGAAAAAAAGGCAGGCTACTGTACCTTTGGTGGTGGCTCTCTGAAGTGCCGCAGCATTGAAATGGCTTAGGAAGATTTTTACTGAAATTGTGAAACAACGAAAATCAGACATGTCTGAGCAGCATGTAAGAATCGGGGTTCTCTTTTTCCTCAAATGGCACATCAACCCAACTCCTTCCTAAATGACAAAAAGGTCCGTTCAATGACACTTAAATTTATCAAATATTACCACTAAATACTGACGACCTAACGAAAACCGACGGTTAAACTGACAGCCTCTTGGCATGGCGCCAATGCAACTGTCCTGTTGTCTGCAGACAAGGAGCGTCCATTATGTGAGGCACCATGCTTCTGGTACGCAAATGAAGTGGCTTTCTATGGAGGGGTCTGCTGCAGGAATGGCTTATCTCACAGTGAATGGATGGAAGGATGGAAAGATGGTGCTGGCAATATCACTTGTATTGGGAGGTAACTTGCGCCACCAATTGAAGGAGTGTGGTAAAGGTTGTACAGATGGCCCAAGCACCTTTCACACCCGTCTTTTGTTACTCTTATTAGGAAATTCGGTGGCCAGGTGTGTCAGCACGCCGTAGCTCGGAGCATATGGAGCGAAAGCTCACGCTGCAGACCTTGGAGGTCGGAATTTCAATCCCTGCCCTGCCCATTTCAAACTGGATGGGCATTGTACCAGAGTGTAGCCATGTATCACCACTCCGTGACACATGTTAAAGGTGCCAGACCAGTCGTTGAACTGCACAGAATAAATTTCGCAAGTACAGCATAAATCAAAGTCACAGTACCTCAAAGGCAGATCAATTCTAAATGTGCATTTCCAATTTGCTCCTTTTTCTTCTGTTGTAGCTCGTTATAAAATTTTTGCTGACTGTTGACATGACTAAGGCGCCGCTTCTTACCCCGTGCACATACGTAAAATGCTCTCTGTTACATCATCCCTTTTGTCCAAATTAAAGGGGCGATGTAAAAATTTTTGTACTTTGCACAAATACCGCTTAGATTGAGTCCTTGATGATAATGACCTATGAAACACGAGTTCATTTTTCCCCACACGCAATAGAAGTCGAAGAAAAAATTAAAGAAAAACGAGCAGTGTTCACCCCCCTCAACTTGCAGCCAGAACAAGCGGCCACATGATCTGGAGCCGATTATATGCCGCCAATGTTGATCATAGCCACGCGCTGGGGTTGGCAAAGCACAGGACGCGTGCCGAATTCCAGACGTTGTTATGGTTCGGCTATTGTTGCCATTGCAGTGATTGGACACTGGCTACTACCCGAATGCCTGTCGAGTCATTGATTACCACAAGCCCAAATCAAGTGCTAGCACAATGCTCAGGTCCCATCTATAAACCGCATTCAAATATCGTCACTTAGGTATGCTGCGATCCCCCAGCTTACGTCATCAAGTTTTGCAAAGGAGAGATTGAAAGAAAACGCTCGCTTTTATTCTTGAAATGACACCGTAACAGAGAAATTTCTTGGTCAGTTTCGTTGCATACGAGTGTACTTGGGTACCACTAGTGCCAGTGAGCTCGTGTAAAGTGAAAAACATTCCAAGCGAATATCATTGCATGGCCCCTTTAAACAAAGTCTCCTGTGCCTATACAATAAATAAAACACTGTACACTGATGTGTGGCCCGGTAACTAACTCACTGGCAACCAAAGCCACTTGACAAAATGTGTCCTGCACTAAGTGAAAACCTTGTGACAAAACAAACAAGTATTTCCGTCAGATCAACAGGGACTTTCACTGAAACATGTCATTTTGCAGATGGGTTTGATGAAGTTATAGCCCAGAATTTCACAGTACCATTTGAGTGCCAGACTTACCAATTGACGTCAAACCAAAATCCATCACTTTCTCGCTAAAGAAAAACTTAAAGGGAGTTGCTCTTAAATGCCACTGAGGGATGTACGTACCGGTTATTTTGAAAGTTGCTCTCTCGCTGGCACTGATCGTGCACGGGAGGTCCTTGTTGACATACTCCAGTATCTTGCCGTCCTTAACAGTACAAAATTGTATGTGACACAACCATTCTTCGATCACCCTCACCTGGAGTAGACTTACCGTCCCTTGGCCGTTGTTAATCGAAGTCCATTTCATGAGAGAAAGGTTTAGGCTTTGGATGAGCTAAGGAGAGAAATCAGTGTTTGGCAATTAGTGATGCGGTTTACAAATATTCTCTCACTGGGGGAGAAGAATTAAAAATTAGCAAGACACTTCTATTTTAATATAATCATTCCAACGTCCTTACAGTCTGAATGAAGTATAAATACTCAATGCAGTCAAATCTGATTTAAGGCACGAAATAAACTTCAAGTCTGGTTTTGTCACCTTTTCTTTGTCGAGAGCCCTGACCTTACGGAAGCTTTGACTATGTTCTCATGAACGGATTTCAGCAAACACGCTACAGACGTTTCCCGCAACAATTGAACTGCATCCTAATAAATATACCAAAATATACCAACAATTGAACTGCATTTTCATAGTAAATATACCAAAAATGTAAGTAGCAGTATATGTGGGGTAACTATTGCAGCATTTTTTTCCCCTATTAAGTGAGTGTTTACAACAAATGAAACGGTATTCTATAAAGCATCAGTGTAGGCCCCCTCTCATTTGCCTGACTAAAGCCACCTTACTCCCCCAATTGAATCAAGAAACATAGGGTCGACCTATTGCTTTAATAAGAAATCGCGACCTGTAAAGGTCCTCAACGGGATGTAGTATTCTATGTCATAACTTTTATTTACAAGCAATGTTTTAAACTGCGCATGCAGATTTGAAATCGCCTTAAAATATCTTTGCGTGCTCTATTTAAGTAAGATGAGAAAATAAGTAAAAAGTAGTTTAAAAGAAGCAGTTCTGAATATACCAGGAATGTAACGAACCCAGCTGGTTAGTATTCAGTAACAACACTCTACGTCTATAATAGCAAAAAAGCAGAACTACAAAAAAAAGAACTCGACAACAGGAACACTGCATTAGTGCCAAAGAGCTACAATCTGGCCCTTCAGCGTTTAGACGCATTGGCTCTAAGCTCCTCCGTAATTATTTGTACAGTTTGCCGAGAAACGCAAAAAATCGTCTGTCACCCATTTTTTTCGACAAATTTGTTTTCTACTGAGAAACACCAAAATGACAAACACAAGATGCCTAAAAAAAAAGAAGACAAACTATTAAAAAATCGCTTTCAGCATTCGACGCAAACTACAGCAATGTTTTCCAATAAGACCGCAACAGATCCGTTGCAAAGCAGGTGGGGGCACGATTTAACAATTGCTCTATCCGAATGGCATTTTGGTAAGATCAGAATAAGAAAGGTACCGGAATGATGTGTGAGCATTGCACGCCGTCTTGAGAATGTTTGCTCTTTTTGTTCACAACATTTACCCACTTCTGTCACCACATTTCCTGTCCCCACCCAGTGTATAAACTGGAAACAAAATTACAGTTGATAAATAAAAAAAGAGTTTTTTCTTAGATAGTCTACACCGAGTGTATAGTCCCCACCTGGTGCCTAGTTTGCACGCAAAACACTATCATCATTGTAAATGCCTGCTTTATGAACTCTTAAAAATGCTTTTATCACACATAAACCATCATTAACACTCTATCATACACAAAATCCGTCACATCTCGTCGAAGTGAATGATTTACAAAAACAAACCCTAGTGTAGCCTGACCTCTAGATAGCCTGCACCGAGTAAACTCAAAGCCTTTAAATTTGTGTAGCCTGTGGACAATAGCCTGGAAGATACTAAAGTCCAAAAGACCTTCTGTTTCTGATATGCTCCTCTCATGATCACTCGCAAGGATGTTCTTGTGCAATAAACCGACGTCAAAGTATGCGATTATGGCACCCAAGTAAGCGCCATTTGAAACATAACGGCGCACAAGGGACAAGGACTAAGGAAAGGAACACACAACTCGTCCTTCGCGTGCCGTTATGTTTCAAATGTCAGCATAACAACTAGCCCAGCTCACCACTCTTCTACAATAAACACCATGCTTGATTGAATAGATAATTCAGGATGTGACATCCTAGTCTGGAGTCTGCCACACCGAAACTAAGCAGGGAAAAAAATATATCAAAAGCTGTGTACACATAATGACGAAAGAGTGTGGTACGCCTTTTTTACAACCATGTGACCCTTAGATAACGCAACGCTGTCAAGTCGGCTAGCGATGACTTGCAACCTGTGTCCAAAGAGTTTCACGGTCATTTTTATATTTAGGGACTGGTCGAGTTTAACATGTATTTTATAAAAGTTGTCTGGGGTGTTCAGTTAAAATTTGGTCTCACAAAACGAAAAAACCCTATTGCCAGTTATAGCACAAAAGATTGAAAGTAGGAAGAGAAGCAACTTGGCTTTGAGCCAGGTTACTTCTCTCCCTGCAGGCATTGACAGCAGCATATTAATTGCTATATTTTTATTTACATATTTATACTACGTCTAGCTGTGAAGCCAAGGTAGTAGTAGCACATATTTCATGCAAACAAGCAACTAATTTCACATACACTGAAAGCTTACAAGTTCATCTGCAACACAATGACATCATAATTCAGAACACAAGCAAGGAGCTTATCTGAAGGAACAATACGCGAGTGATAAAAAATTATCTGTCACGTACCAGTATGGTTCAGCACAGGCACTTAGACAGGATTTTATTTTGGGGAGGGGAGGGAGGGGGGGGGGGGGCCGCCCATGACAAAATGCTGTATGAGGGGGAGGGGAAAGAGGAGGCCCCAGCAAAACGGAGGTTTTCAGGGGAGGCCCGGATCCCATGCCTCCGCTCCGCATAACATTTGCCAACTCGCCCAATTCTCTCCTTTACATAGTAAGAGTTCTTATATAGTTCATGACCCAGGCGAAAATTTCTAACTGGGACCAGTTGGCACCTCAACTGGTTTCAACTGGGACTAACTGGTCCCAACTGGGAATCAACTGGGACTAACTGGTCCCAACTGGGAATCAACTGGGACCAATAGGAGTCCAACTGGGACCAATAGGAGTCCAACTGGGACCAATAGGAGTCCAACTGGGGCCAGCTGAGGGGTCAACTGGTTTGAACCATTCCCAGTTGGGAGTCAACTGGTTTGAACCATTCCCAGTTGGGAGTCAACTGGTTTGACTCCCAGTTGGGAATGGAGTGCTCTGGAACCAGTTAGGAAAGTAACTGGTTGGAGCGATTCCCAGTCGGACTTCAAATGCCTTTCCCGTTCCCAGTAGGTTGTTTGCACATGACGTCAATCCGCCATTTTGTTGTTTGGTTTTTCGAACAAATTTACTACATTGAAGGATTACATCGTAACCGGTTGAAATGATGTCAGCGGTGCTCTACACATTCAAGAAGGCATGTAAATTCTTGAAATGCTCAAGTTTGGCACACGCCAGACAGATCGCAACAACAAAATGGTGGACGAAATTACGTCAGTGAAAACACCCTGTTCACACTGGGCAACAATTTGGACAAGTTGGGGGTGTATTGACCTTTGCTAATGAAGAAAACTAAAAACGCTAACATTTTTAGATTTATACAAATAGGGAATTTTAATTACTGGGGTACATTTATATATTTATAAAAATAATATAAAAATTTTAATTAACTAAATATTTTTTTAATTGGAAAATATAATTAGTGACAAAATGCGTTCACCTAAATGAACATTTAGTGCATTATTAAAATATATTAAAACATTTATTTAAATACCTACAGTATTTTTTTTTTCTTTTAATAAATAAATTTATCTTTTGACTAATCAGAGCTAGCCGGCCGCCGTGGCACGCGGGTGCGGATTAGTGGTACGCGCTGTCGACAGATGGCGCTGCCTATGCTGACGCCGGAGTCGGACGGACGCGGTAAAGAAGGGTCGCCATCGCCCAAGTTGGCGTCGTTATGAAAATGTCAAAACTACAGCTGCGCTTCTTTGGACCTAACTGTACACACACCATGGTGGCGGCGGTGAACTTCGAGGATGGAAAGATGCAGTTCAGCGATCGGAGGGCACCCAGGAAAGACCGGACGGAAGAGAACACGCCGCGGAGAGCACAATGGCGAAAATGGCGGGAGGTCTACCTCGAAAATGTTCGACTGTTGTGACAGAGATTGCAAGGTGGGAGCGCTACCGCATCTTATCAGGACTTCACCTGCGCAACGCAGGATCACGGGTGAGCACCTTTCTTCACGCGATGGGAAGAGAAGGTGAGGACGTCTTCACTAACAGACGCCAGCGGCCGATCTTCCTTCATCTCATGAATACCACCTCTGAAAAAGCTATTCAACCGTCGCAAGCAAGTGGCTAAACCCGGAGCGTGTACGTCACCGAACCTATTTAGTTTCATTCTCCAAGTTTTTGACAATAAAGTATTGTCAACCTTCCATTTTGTGCCGTGTTTCATTGTTGCTGGAGTTGGTACCAACTCCAACTGGGACCAGTTGTAACTGGGACCAATTCCAGCTGGGACCAACTCCAACTGGGACCAGTTGCAACTGGGAATTGTTCCATAAACCAGTTGCAACTGGGACCAACTGGTCCCAGTTGGACGACTCCAACTGGGACCGGTTGCAACTGGGAATTGTTCCATAAACCAGTTGCAACTGGGACCAGCTGGTCCCAGTTGAAAATTTTCGCCTGGGTCACGCCACGAGATTAGCAAGACTTGCGTTTGACGAGGTGTGCCTTTTTCCTGCGGCGCTGCGCTTTCGTAAAAATTTATACATGTTCTCAAAGGCAGTTGTCACCGTTTACACGAGATTTTAAAAAACTTCTTCGTCGAATGACGACAAACGAGCAGAAAACGTGTCTTTAGCATACTGCCGCCCAGCCTTGCTGTACTCCAAAAGGTAAATTTTCTGTGTGGCAAGATGGCCGCATTCGCTTAGCGGGGAAGTGCGACCCAGCAATTGTCATAGAGATCAGCAGCTGAGGCAAACCTGTGGTTTCCAGACTGGCACCCAAATAAAATGTTTGTCATCCACGATGGCCAGGCTAGCTTTCAAAGAGCAGCTGCTTGCAAACGTTTATTGACACTGAGCAAAAAGATTACCAAAAAATAATAATGGTGGGAGTCCCTCCCACCATTATTATTTTTATTATTATTCCCCTCCCACCATTATTATTTTTA